ACATTCTTTACAAGTAAGTAGACTAATCATGTTACTTTCAAATATGTAGATATTACGTTATAAACTGTTTTACATAAGAAAATTTCATATAAATTGTCTGGGTCAATCAAACTTTAATTGAAAATGTCACTATTCTATATATATATATAATAAAGAGAGAGGGAAGAACTAAAGAGGAGTGAACAAAACAAAACATGATATCAATGAAAATCAGGTCAAAATTATTATTTGAATATAGTGTGTTCTTTTTTTTTCTTTGCCTTTTTGTTTCTTCTTTATTCGATAAACAATAAACTACTTGTATACATGTAAATGTATACCTAACTTGATTGTTATAAACAGAATTTAAGTGTCATGAAGAAGTTTACAACATTTACACAAGTCATTTATATATTTGTCCATGACGTTATTTTTGCATAAATTTTCACAGTTATCAATAAGCAGCAAAAAAGAAACACAACAACAAAGAAATAATGAATCTTTTGTTTGAATAAATCCCACTAATGAATTTATTCAATAAAAATTTGATGGTTTTAATTTGTCTGGTTATTGATAAAGTGAACATGAAAGACTTTACTTTAAAGGTAAGTTGTAGAATGTTAATTAGGGTATAAAATTTGACTTTTCAAATGATAATCCAACTTTTACTTAAGTTGGTGGATATGGAGAGTTCACCTAGGGGAATTGGAAAACCGTAATTCAAAACCAATGGTGTACATGGGCTCCAGTATCTTGAAGAAACATATGTCGTATGAACCTATTATTGGTCATCGGCTACCATGGGACTGTATCTCCTTACGATGCTTCACTGTCTTGTGAATCAGACCTTTAGGTCGAAGATTTCACGTGTGGCCCCCTAAGAAAACTACTTGCTTCGGTTTGGGCAGTATCCCAGCCCTCACACAAATCAAATGATTTATGTGGTGCATATCTATTTGGTGCCTCCTTGTACCAATATTTATGTGTTTAAATAAATTGTACTTAACAGAATTTCACTACATTTGTCTACTGTCAATTAATTCAAGAAATATTACCACTATTTTTAATTAACTTAATTGGCCGGTTTACCTAATATGATTTCTTCAATAAATATGTTATGTCTTGTGAATGTTTTCCAAAATCCTCGTCGCCAGTTGTTATGACTTGTGAATCGAATGCTAATTTGTATCTGGTCGTCGCTGATTGTTATGTCGGAATCGCTGACCATTTATGCTCGGAACGAAGGGACCTCCACAATTCCCACGACGCGAAAATAAGAACACAAGACTAATATAAGCGAAGTTTTATTAGCCCCAAAACACTATGATGATGACGACGACCTTAGTCGAAAATACACTCATTTATATATTGATTATACAACCATTTTGATTAATAATTAGAATGAAATCATATATATAAAAAATACTCAGTTATCACAAATCACATACTGAGCATAGTTCATAGTCAATTAAATACAAGAATATCGTATATTATACAGAATAAAATATCATACGAGAAAAGAAAACAAATACTACATTGAGTAATCATTACATTGAATCAAAACAGAAGTAATGTTGAATAAAACTTATAATGAGTAAATCGATCGAAAATTGACTTTCTTTCGATCATATCAAAATATCAAGCTTAGAAAATACAAAAATTTGTTTTAAAAGTTTGAAAGTAGTTTAGTTATAAGTTGGTATTAAATAGAGAACTACAAAGATCCATATAGCAGTAGACGGTTGTTTCATTCTTGGTTGATATCCTTTAGAAATGCATGCTCACTATTTTTTTTACAGGATCTAGCTGATAACTTTTAAGCATCAAGGAAAGTTCAACACTTTTGGACAACCAAGAGGGAATCTGATAGCTTGAATATTAAAATTCTGTCAACTATATACAACATCATTGGTAAATTACTTACGCATCACCAGCTTAGTTGATCCCACTAATCGTCGCTTCCCATCGATCTCTTCAGATTTTTGTTGAAACCAGTCACTTATTAGCATTATATTACTATATTCAAAGATTTTTTTGTTGTTTGAAGATGATTTTCGTCACAGATAGACATCGAGTGTAGAACCATCGAAAACTAGGAAGCATCGAAGTGTTACATATCTAGATGGGAGCCATACTGGTGATTTTTGTTTTGAACATTTCTAGAATCCTTATCATAGAAACCATTGATTAGTTTGTTGTGTATAGCTACTTTTGAAAAATTATTGATTGTTTTACATTTTATTACTATGTACACTCAGGATTTCAAATTACTTCCAAGTCACTTAGTAGTATGTTTACATCTCCGAACACAAGATAGTAATTTTATTTTCAGTTCAATCACCAATCTCATCATAAGACACATTTGTTGGATCAAGGATATGTTTCGTCGTATCAAATAATTCATGTGTATTGACATTTTTAATGTATAACCAGTAAGCATCTCAAGAAAAGTTATTTCGTTTATTGGAACATTAGATATCTAGAAATTGTGTGACTTCCGGAGTTATCAAAGAAAATTCTGCAAAACAAAAGATAGCATGCTTCAACTTAACATTCCATTCTACATTATTTATTAGTTAAATATCAATTCAAGTTTCGCTTTCTTTAAGATACAATCACCCGATCACTTTTATTTACTCATCAGTAATGAATTTGGAAGTCCATTCAGAAAATTTTTAATTTTGTGTAAAGCACTCACTAAAAATAATTCCTTAAATTATAGGTTAATAAAATATAAATCTACCGACAGAATTTAGCCAGCATATAACTATCAGAGAGAATATGCTATTACGAGGAAGTCTCGATATAATCGTCAGTTAAAACTCAAGTAATTAATAACTGTATACAACAGTGTACAAATGAGTAATTTTATATATTTCCATGGTCCCGTTAACTAATACACTCGCTTGTTAAACTAGTTTATGAGAGCGAGACTTCTCTAATCAATTTTTCTGAGTAAAGCCTTGAGGTGTATTGTATTCGTTATAATTTAAAAGAATCGCAAAATGGTTGAAAACAATAACTTATATGAATTTTTCCATCCCAGTTGATTGTTCTTTTGAACCTGGTTAATTCAAATAAATTTCATTTTTTGCTTAAAATCAGAATACAAGGTTGGTTCCAGAATGAACAATGTTCACCTGAAGCAGTTGTACCATAATGACCGACCCAATTAGACAGAACAGTTCTTACTATTAGACCTTTATTTTTGATGATCAAGTTAGTGGTGGATTAACTGTTTGATAATGGTCACTTTGATGTTCGGCATCTCAAACGTTTCTTTATTACAGGGAATTATTGTTATTTCGCAACCTATTTACGTGGCTAATTTCCAAATTCTATAGGGTTTATCCTGTGTAAATCTGTTAATTTACGATAAAAATGATGCTGACACGTTTGAAAACAATGTATAACTAACTTTATGTATATGAGTCAATCGATTCAATCCATACAAATACAGGGAACTGCCTAGCATGTTTTGTTCATACATCCTCTTCGATAAGTATTTATAACCACAACTGTCCATGTACAGTGAAACAACTAGTTCCGTATCATGATATTTAACGATCATTTAATGTTTCTACGAAACTTCTTCTATTAAAAGGCCAACAATAAAATTAAAATTTTGACAAGTATATCCTACCCTGTAGATCATATTACACATTCCTCTGTGGTTCTTCTCTTGTATAATGAATTTTTTGTGTGGATTCTGAAGAAAAATGCTTATCTTCAAATAACTTGTATTTTTATACGATGGAATACATCTCATAGCTACGCTTTGTAGACTGTATATGTAGTTATTCAAAGAAATAATAAAGCTATATCTACTAGTTTCAACATTTCCACTGAATTATAGACGAATGTTACGAGACAACTGTGATTAAGAACTAGTAGTTGGGGACTAGGTATAATTGGTCAACCACTCCAATCAACGTTAAGAAAACCCGATAGAGAGTACATTTAAGTTTTTCAGACAATTTGTTACCAAGATCTTTTACTCTGTTATATTTAAATGGTCATCATTTATTCTTTCGTATTCAATTTTCCTAAAATCTTCCATTCTTACCCTATAAACACTCATTATTGGAACATGTAGACGTAAAACAAATTGTCTGTTCAATGTCGATTTACTCTCACAACTTATGTACAATGGTATTACACAAATTCATAGATTCTGTGGTAGGGAATATCAATATCTATGTGTCAATCTCCTGTAAGCTGGATATGTACATCTATATGTGTTATTTTAGAAAATCAACTAACGACCATAATATTACTTATGAGGGGCAAGTTCATGAGAATGACTTCAACACATTTTAATGATAATAAAGACAAAATAATCCTGACTACTGACTAATGAACAGTAGGCACAATCGACTATCGAAATTTGCAACAAAAGCTTGGATTTCCTTGAGAGACGATTTATATCACTTCACTTCTACGATATCTGAATAATTTTTATGAGACTTTCGAGTTATGCGTGATAGATGTTCATCTCTTAGATAACTGGATTTTGAGATAATTCAAACGTTGCTTCTAAAAATAAATGCTGGGAAAGATTGCAAAATGCTAGGACATTTAGCCGAATTAGGATGGAACAGTATCGTTCATTGTGTAAGTGTCAGTAAAGGGTAACAATAGTTTACGTGAATGCTTCAAAAGTATCAATGTAAAAACAGAATCCTAACTATGAATATCGCATGCACATAGTTGTAATAACAATAATCAAAAATACAATTTAGTTACAGCAAGACTGGATCTAGCAGGATTAGCCGAAGCTATTCACATAGTTTAACACTCCTACTGATCAACATGAGTTATGAACGGTGAACAATACCTGGTTGGAATCTTTGCAAAATTCATCGACTACTGTTAGAGAACTTAGGTGCTACAGTTTCAAATCTGAAGTAACGTAATAAACCGAGTCTTTATCTAGAACAACGCATAATTCATACATTTCATCCCGTTTGTAGCCATTTCTTCTGATTCCTTGATGATATTGTAATGAACGAGAACACAGGTGGGAACAACCAATTTATTTTAATACAAAATTAAAGAGTTCTTCGGTAAAATATGAAAACCAATACGTTCAACACTTTATTTGTAAATTCTCCATCAATTGTCTCAAATTTTATCGTTTCTTCATCACTATAACAATCACTCTGTCCCCGTTCTCTTCTATTCGATCTTCCCAACCTTCTGCTGCCAGGCATTCAACTTCTGATTGGTGTTATATACTACTTATGTCTACATAAGTAGCACACACCACAGTATCATTAGTTGCTTTTCTGCATTGACATGACATTCGGAAAATAAAACTGAAACATTCTTGTTACGTAGGACATTCCTTCGCTAAATGAAACGACACATTTATTTCATTTAATATATAATAAAGAACCAGGATTATTTCAGACAGATAAAACGTCCAAAATTCAACGTAAAGTTAAATTCATACCAATTTACAAAAACACACCGAGTAAACCGATCAAATTGGGAATATATCAAAGTAAACAAGGTCATATATTGAAAAAACGTGAGTGACGAGTAATAAAGTGTCCAACATTCGTAAAGAGTGAATGAACCTGTTTTGGGTGAAAATAGAAGTCTTTCAAGGTCATACCAGGACACCAAATATTGATACCTAGCAATCTGATATAGAATTTATAAAAGTAATTTCCAGGACTAAATGACCCGTAAGATGCCTGGCTGATATGTAAAATAGGAATAGAAGAGGGAAGCTGGTTATGAATATAATGGTCTTGAGTGCCGTTAGAGGCATGAAGGCGGTTACCACTTCCCGGTCGCCCGCACCGTGTTAGGGTTCTTCGGGAGGTAACTGAAGTGGAAATTGAATTAGAGATGATCTTAGTGACCTGAGAGTGTGACCGCAGTGACCAACAACTGCTTGAGGTCGTTTACACATGACCTTTTTTATCAGTAATTTTCGTGTAAGCTCCGTGCTTGTTGGGACCTTATAGCCGGAGACGGACTTCCGTGGGATATGGTGAGGTGTGCATTTTTAAGGTCAACCATTCCTACCCACCTCCTTGTGGGAAGGTAGCATCGCTACTACGCTGGTTGTCTGAAGAAAACACCTCACTGCCATCACACCTCTGTACAGTTAGCAGTATGACTTCGCCTTCAGATCTTGGATTTGCCGCTTTTGGTCATAGCGTTCTTCAACCAACCTGTCTGGTATGGTTGGACCTTGAGAAACGATTGTTCCAGCCAGTATACCTCGATTGGTTCATCACGATAAGCAAACCCTACTACTGGAAATAAAGTTCTCGTCGTCTGAATGTTCAGAAATTGATCTACCACGAGATTCACTTATCGACTTAGAATACGATGATATAACACTGTTTGGTGAAGACGCTGACAAAATGCAGTCTTTTGTTAGCACTGAATAATAATGCCAGAATGTTTGGGAAACACTTCTCTCCCTCTAAATGCAAGTTGTTACTTCAGGGCCCGCGTCAATACCTGAAATAAGGAAAGGGAATGAAGTAGTCGAACGCGTTGACAACTTCACTTATCATGGAAGTTTGATGAGCCTTAATGGGTTGGTGTCTGACGAAATCCCAACACGAATTCGAAAAGATCGTTCGGATTTGCCAACTTACGTCACCTATGGCGAAGGTGAGATATCCGTCTATCAATTAGGGGACGAGTATACTGCGCGGCAGTTCGTTCTGTCTTACTTTACGACTGCGAAAAGTAGTGTTTAAGAGCAGAATATACTCGTAAGCTACTAGTATTTGACAACAGATGTCTTAGAAATACTGCTCGCAGAGAATTAGGGAGGTTGTAAATCTTCATCGACGGAGATGGTTGGACCACGTGTTACGCATGCCTGAACATCAATTATCACGACGCGCAGTGCTGACTTGTGTTGGGGATGGTTGGAAGAAAGTTAGGGGCGACCAAACCAAAACGTGGCATCAGTGCTTGAAGTCACTAACTTCTAGTCTTAGCCATGTTGATAGATGCGGACTACCTGGTTGGGGTTCGCCTGACTATCATAACCAATGGTTGGAGACTCTGAGTGATATGGCTCAGAATCGATCACAACGGCGTAGGTGTATACACTTTTTTTCTTCCCTTAAAATCGCTTCATATCTTTCTTTCTGCACTATATTCTTATGTGCAATCTTTCTTCTACACATTACCACCACTGAATTAACTACTTCCATGGATCCGGTACTCATCTTGCTGTGCTAATGAGGTATGGCAACTTGGACCGATGCATATATGTGACAGGTCCTACGTTGTAGCTGACTGATATGTAAAATGCCTTGCAGGTCAAAGTAATGTTTTTCATAGAAGATACAATACATCATCGAAGGAAAAGAGAATGATGACTAGCTGTTAAAAAACAAAGAACTATTCAGTAACATGAAAGAGCAACCTGTCTAACTTTTGTTCCACTCAAATACCATTATCTATTATGTATAGGGGGGTGATTTGAAAACAAGATAATGAAGTGAACTACTGAATTGGGTTAGTGGTGCTATATTTCATGGGTGACCAAGTGACCAAGATAGCATCTGCTTATTCCGTCTGTTGGAGACTAAGCCAGTCTAATAACATGGACAAGGAAATAAGTGAAAATTTAAGTCGACATTAATTCGGGTTGTACATATGTTGGCCAGAATTTCCAGACATCGAACATAACTGAAAGTGATTGAAGTAATTTAACGTAAGCCAAAATATTCAACTGAGTCATGGTACTTTTGAATAGTACAGTGAGAAAATTAGCCAAAGTAGAAGAATAAGTCATGAGACAAATCAAACAACCAAAATACAGGATGAGTGAAACATATCAAGTGAAGAATAAAATAAGCACAGAACATTAGGATTACAAACCTTGATCAGAAATCTTTACAAATTCTTAGAAAATAAACACAAGATTTGCACCTAAAAACATTTTCCGGTTTAAATTTAATCAACAATAAACCCAAGAGTTGGAACATAAACCGAAATTTCTGAATTAACGGCCTCTGCACCTTGGAATACATATTACTAGTAAACTTGAACCATACATACAAACATACATTATTAACTTTCTACCCAATCCTAAATTTATTGAAAACTATCAAATCCAAACTTAGCATCGATACCTATAAACAGTATATAACCAATGCACAGATTAGCAGCCAAATACAAGTCAATGGGAATTGAAACGATATTTATCTAAATCTGAAACTAAACAAAGTTTTATCTGGCAATCTGATCTAAGCCCTTTCAAGAGAATCAATAAGTATACTTGTAAATAAGGAGTGAACATCGAGAACTGAGATTGTTTCATCACCTTTCATATGGCTAGTAGTATGTTGCATTCACTTGAAATTTTTGATTTCATGTACCACTTCCCGGTCATCGGGTTTTATGATCCTGGCAAGACTATAAGTTGGTGAGTTTGTATAGTCACTTGCCACTCTTATTAGTGTGTTTGACAAAGTCAGTCTGCCCAGGTGCAACTCCAGTTTTATGATGAACAGAAAGATTGATTTAGTTTAAATTATAATCAAAGAATTCATTTGTTCATTGAAATTTTATAACAATGACATACATCTTCGCATGGCACTGCTTGAAAACATTTTATATCAAATGACTCATATGCTCACTGAAAATCAAGCTAATATATGAACACGACTAAACACGCATTTAGTATGGAAGACTTATCGATCTTATTTATCATTGATAATGTGATTAATTTCAGGTGAAAGTTGGGGGAGATTACCGGGGCACATGTTGGCACTATGTAATTCAAACTATTGGGATTTTAACAGTTTTCAAACACTCAGTGAACAACTACTTGGAACTACCCATTCAAAATCAAACGGAATTTTCCATAAAACAGAAAGCTATTTTTCGAAATACTTTACAAGAAAGACAAGCACGTGAACAAACATACATAATCAAGAGTCGTTTTCGAACCTCGGAAGACCAAACTGTTCAGGTTTAAAATGAGATAGACAATTTAATCTAGTGACACGTGATATATCAGTGGATGAAGTTGATTTTTGAAAATTTCCAGGTGGTTCTCGTGGATCAGGAACCCAAACAACGTGCATCCCAGCTGACAGAGCAGCTTCAACACCATTTGGAGAGTCTTCAAACACTAAAACGTTATCAGAGGAATCTGGAGGAATTTTAAATCTGTTAGCGGTAGTTAGAAATATATCCGGCATAGGTTTACCATGCTTAATCTAAAATTAATGTAAATTAAAAATGTGAGTAGTTTTGAAATTATAATGACAGGATAATTAAAAGCTACAAAAAATGTTAGAATTGTGAACTTGATATGAAGGACTTCGCTGAGTATGATGAATACAGTCGAAATTTTTCCTTGATTACAACTATGCACAAATACATGTGAGATACTGCAAAAATATTCAGAGGCTAAAAATGATACTACAAGGGTTTTTAAACTACTGTTTGACATCGGACTTATTGAGATCAATTTATTTTTCTTACAACATACTAAGAATCCGACGTGATAATCTAGTAACTATTTTGGAATTGACATTGTGGCTTTCAGAGCAGGATATTTGCGAGCACACGAACAGTAAGTTCATGAGCTCAGAACCGATTGCAAACCACTTATCGGTAGATCGACGAGAGTACAAATAAATTCTGAAATGACTTTTGGAAACCCGTACTTGGTGAAGTACCATATATAACAAAAGTAGGCTGTTATTAATCCTATGTTAATGACCTTCCAATTTTCACTTAGTTTTCAATGCTACTTCACGCCGATATCAAAATATTGGGAAAAATGCGAATGACGGTGGGGGAGAAATTCAGGTGAGTCTTGACATCTTGTTAAGCTGGTCTAAGACACGGTTAACACGTTACTGTAACAGTCTCTATACATCTAAGATAAGTAGAGGGTGGCAATAAAAGAATTGGAAAGCATCTGTCATCAGTTCTTATTTACAATGACGGCTTGGAGACCATTGCCATTTAGTTATTGTTGCAGAGCAGTAGGCCACTAATGACTTTCACAAAGTTCGATGGAATAGGTAAGCTAAGCTTCAGAGAAGCATAGTGTTATCGAGATGAACCATTAAATGGCTAAGAAATATATACACTCCTAATTATTTTTCCAACCACGTCACCACAACTCAAGACACAACAGAAGAATTTAAAGTTACGAATGGAGTATAATCGTGATGTGTAGACCGTCACATCGTCTTATTAAACTGACTCCCAGAATTTGCCGTTAAATGAAGTGGTGCCTGCTTTCTCAATCTACTCACCTAAAAGACTAAACACATACTAAAGGATACTATGAAAGGAGTAACACAAATTCTCGGTTTTCTGATCTCAGTGTGAATTTCAAGGAAATCCATACGTATTCAAGAAATTCGGCTTGGTATTCTAAGAACGGATACAAGCATCTAATCTTCCTGCAGTTGCTACGGACAAGATAAGTGAAAAGAAAGAGGAATGTAACAGGAAAGAGATAAGAAACTAGAACAGGAATGGAAGAGTTTAACTACATATTCGTTACTACATTACATTCTGGAAAGTTAAACGGGCACATCACATTTCTGCTTGGTCACATACTTACAGTAGGATCGTCACCAGAGCAAACAGAATGAGAGACTTTGGTCATTATATCCTGATGATTTCTCATTTTCTGATCAAGTTGATAACTGCAACAACCAGTGGCTAGAGCCATAGGAATATTATGAGAAGCAAGATGCAAAATAAGTTTTTCTGCACCTGGTAAACATTGAACACTCTCCCATCTTTCTGGAGTAATGTATTCTGACTGCCGTTGAATAAATTCATCAGCACTTAGTGGTAAATTATAGTGTTTTACAAGTATTTCACCGGCTTCATGAGGTTTTCTTCCCATCATCAGTTTTTTTATGTTGTAATCAAACTGTAAATTATATCCACTAAGGAAATTTGATGTGAACTCAGTGTATATGGATTCTGTGTCCAAAATAAGACCATCGACGTCGAATATAACGTGAGTAACCTTAATCATATTATATCAAAGGTCAACGGATTAGTAAGTGCACAATGTTTAACATACTACATCACCAACACAAGGTTCAAATGGTTGTGGACGGAATAGAAGAAGCTTTCGCTTAACGGGCTTCCGTGTCTAGTAGCAGGGGATCACCAATACCTCCAGGCAGGAACCTAGATATATTAACGAAAAAAGCGAAAAAAAGAAGTTGGTAAATCATAGTAGGATACTATCCTTAGTCCTTAAGAATAGATCAAGTCGCCTCTTAAAGGACTCCTGGGAAGTTGCTTGGACTAGCTCAGCTGGCAGCGAATTCCGGCATTTGACAACTCTTAAGGAGTAGAAGTTGTGTCTGCAGTCCGTTCTACGATGTTGTATTTCCAGTTTCTGGGTGTTACCCCTTAGATAATTATTGAGACTAAGTTTAAGTAGGTGTTTAATAGGATGTCCAGAAGTGTCAAGGATACTATAAGCCATCAGAAGGTCACCTCTAAGACACCTATACTCTAATGGGTAAAGGCTAAGTGATTGGAGGCGCTCTTCGAAAGTTTAAATTTGAGTCCCCGAACTGATTTCGTGGCTCGCCATTGGATACGCTCCAGAGTGTCCTTATACTTTTGGAGTGTAGGAGGAAATACTATGTTTCCGTCCTCTAAATGGAGACGAATAAAACTGTTGAAGATTATGTGGAAAGTTCTCCCGTCAAACTGACCAAAAATGCGCTTCAATGTTACCAGTGCCAGGTTTGCTCGAAAGGCATTTCTGTCACAGTTAGCGCAAGACTTTAAGTCGTAGGGCACCAGAACTCCTAAATCTTTTTCGACTCGGGATACTACTAGAGAGGAGTTTCCCAAGTTGTAACTGTAGTCTGCAACATGTCGCAGATGGACTACTTTACACTTTGAAGTGTTAAAGGTAAGTCCGTTATCATCTGCCCAACTTTGAAGTCGAGTCAGATCCTCCTGAAGTGCCTGTATGTCGTCTTGTTTGCGTATCTCTCGTCAAAGTTTGACGTCATTGGCAAAATGTAATAAGTCTGACTTTACCTGTAGAAGAAGATCATTTATATAAATCAGGAAGAGGAGAGGTCCTAGTACTGAACCCTGGGGGACCCCACTAGGACATTCCATAGCGTGTAAGAAATTGAAGTTTACCCTGACCTTAAAATGTCGATGTGTCGGATATGAACTGAGCCAGTCAATTAAAGGTGGTTTGATACCCAATTGTTTGAGCTTGTTGAAAAGACATATATGGTTAACTCTATCAAAAGCTTTAGAGAAATCAAGGTAAATGATGTCCACCTTCCCCTTGCAATCAAGGATGCTTGTCCATCTGTCCACCGCAGTCAGGAAGTTGGTCATACAAGAGTAACCCTTCCTGAAACCATGCTGCTGGGGTGAGAAGAAATTCAAGGACAGTATGTAATCATGTATACCATCGTATATCAGGGACTCCATAATTTTCGAAGGTATAGAGAGAAGAGCCACCGATCGGTAACTTGAAAGTTTGCTGCGTCGACCTCCTTTGAAAATTGGTGTGATATGAGCCAGCTTCCAATTTTTCGGTAGTTTGCCTTGACTTAGCGAGTGTGAGAACATCACGCTAAGCGGTGTTGTCAGGATTGAAGCTGCTTCCCTCAGTATAGCAGAATGGACCATATCTGGGCCAGATGAAGCGTCTGTTCCTAGATGCTACAGTTTTTGGAACACTAAGTCAGCGCTCAGGTTCACTTCCGAAAGTCATCAGTGTAGTTGATGTGGGTCGGCTGAAATGTCCGGGAGTATCGCTCAGCCAAAAGGTTAGCGGCGTCGCCGTTGTTATCGGTCGGGCCGTTAGGACCTAGCAGTTGAGAAACTCCAGTTTTGGCTTGACGAAGAGAGGCTGCGTAACGGAACAAACTTTTCGGATTGTCGACAAATTTATCCATAAGCTTTAACTGGTACTGAAGCCTGTCTTCTCTTATAGCCTTCATGCATATGTTCCTTATATGTTTATATTGCCTGTACGCGCGGCAAGAGTTTTATGGTCGATATTAGTGTCAAAAGGACCATACTCCACGATACATAGAGTTACTTGCCAAAACAGTTATACCTCGATTATTATTATTATTTACAAACATCTTCTGGGTACATAAGCGTTGTGAAGAAACCATTTCCAGTTTCTTCAAAAATGCAATAATACACAAGTTTCAATAATCTTAGCATTAAATTTGCCATATTTGAAAAAGAGCAGTATTAATAAAATAATAATAAATCAGGTTCTGTGTAATTAAGAAGAATATTGAATTGAGTTTAAAGAAGGGAGAAAATAAGGGAATATAAATAAAGGAGACGTGAAGTACGCAAACTGTTTAATAGGCGTGTTTAAGAACACAGAACAAGAATAAACGACTGTGTTTGTATCGTCAAATTAGTAAGAAAATTAAAACAAAAAGTAATTAAGAAAGAAATAACTTCTTACTGCAGTAAGATATGACGCTAGAATAGACGTTTGTGCAGTCATAGTTTGGAGTGATACTATCAAAGTCTCAATTAAATGAAAAGGATAATGAAATATCATTATGTATGAGTCATATGTGCATAATGAAGACAAAACAAGTCTGTGAAATTAATTTAAGTGTAACACAAGTTATTGTCTTAATTACAAACTTCGTAATATTAAGAATAATATTTGGTGTCTCTCAACCGTACCACAAGGGATACCATAGGTTGCTAGGTGTCACTGCCGACTCATTCGGTTACCGAGCCAGATGCATCAACGACAATAATAATACGTGCTTTGATGTCCTGGTGCGCGGACATACTTAATATTGCGACAACTGACTAAACTGTGAAGAATGCTCTTCTCGAGTTGTAGTCCCACTTGTCGAGTTTTGTATTTCCACGAAGTTGGTCTGTTGGAGGTTTCATGGTTCGATGTGAACAGACAGTAAATACTTACCGGAACGTCGAATGTGCGTAGTTGTCTGACTATAGTCATTTCTGGGTAATCCAGATTGGCCGTAACTTTGATGTTCAGAGGGCTAATATCTCGATTATTAAATATGTGTGCGGGACTATACCTAGGGCAATTGTTTTTTCTAAAAAATTGTGGTAAAACAATGCTCCTGATGACCCTGTGTTAAAGTTCTCCCAGTTTATAGAAAGTAGGTTGAAGATGCACACTAAAAGGCTTCCATATCCGCCTGATTAGAATTTCATACTAGATATTAGGAAGTCCTTTTTCATACCTTCAGAGCTACAGTACACAAAAGCAAATTCGATGCTTCGCCATTTGCATTTCAAATGGAACTGCACCAATTCATGTGTCACTGAATCGTATGCAGTCATATCGACAGCCCGTAAAACACGCGTGCTTTGAAAGCGCAGGAAGACCTCACTTTTTCCATTGTTTTGTCTGTTGGTTTTATCAAGTTAGAAGCCCAACTGAACTTCACTATCACATGCATCTGAAGTTAGAGCTTTTCTGGGATGGCGATGACATCAAGGATATCTGGATCCACTGCATTTTTGAGGGCTGCCACTTTATTTGGTAGGCTGTGGGGACTTGCATGGTACACATTTTGTCCTGTGAAATGCCGTGATATGCCGCTCGGAGTAGTGTAGAGGTCTTTCTATCGAGAAATTTAAAAGTGTGAAAATCCTTAAGCACAACGTTTTTCTCACCGTTCCCACAGCGCCCGTTGATTTTCGCTTCCGTATGTTATCCTTCAATACTATCATAATGGATGAAAATAGCACATACATATATTCCAGATCATCTCCGTTTGTGTGAATTTTCCAACAGCAGGTTTATTTCCTCGATGGAAATCAGAATGCATTCTAGAGGCGAATTGCGTGAATTTTTCAGGGATTCACTTTCGTCTTATATTGTAGAGCTTGTGTTTACTTACTTCTGCTTCTATTTCCGGGAATGAACACGTGCGCGCGTATTTCGAAGGTTGTAACTTTTTTCACATGGTATTATTTTATTCTTTTATTAGTTTTTCCCTTTAATTTAACATTTATTAGCGATAGATAACTCGTCACTGATAGGGTTCTGTCAACGTCATACATTAATTTTGCTAGTTCTCACGCTCTCCATTATCACCAATTAACGGTAATATATTTGATCTTAACTAATACTGGATCTGATCGTACCATTAAACTTTACACGTGTATCAAGTGAAATTATAACTGTCGCTGTTTACTAAATTAAACTTCATACTCATATTACTTACAATAATGTCCCGGCCATCTAAAAAACATATAATCTCTCCTGAAGCCTATAGCGCTTGCAAAAAATCTAAATCAGTCACTAAAGCGAATAATGTGAAAACTTATAATCACACTGATCAGTCTGCATCCTACTCTGATCTTCCCTCAGCAACAATAAACGGGCACCGTTTACTTGGGCACGACATTTCACTACCTTGTGTATCGCTTGTAGATATAAATAAGAGCAGTCATATGCCGTTAGAGTCGACACCATCTGCCAGTCTAAACAATAGCATCACATGTTGTGAGCAGTATTTGGACAGTTCGGCTGACCCCAAACACTCAAATATGTTACAATCGGTCATCCTGAGTAGCGGTCCACGGAGTACATGTAAGCCTGCTTGCAATAGCCAGCCCGATGATGTAGATCTTGACTACTCACCCAGATATGTACCCCATCCCCCAAATAGCTATGCAAAAAGCGACCATCCGGTAGACACCTGCAACAGGTCTATGTGTAACCATAGCGACCTTAAAAACTTAGATACACATTCCAATAATCTCATCACTAGTAGCAACCAAACAGAACTCAGCTTCACCCAAACTATCCAAGATTTATTACCGTACAAATATTTAGTCAATATTCCAGAAAATCCTGATCTCGAAGTCATAAAAAACGCCGAAAAAGTAATTAACCATATATCATCTGAAGTGTTAAAAAGACTTCAGTGTATGCAAAATGTTATTGTGTATAATATACCTGATAGTGCGAACGTAAGGATTGTTAGAAATACTCTACTACAAGAATGTGGATTGTCACAATCTTGGTGTGCAACAAGAAGATTACGTAAAAAACACACTAAAGCCTCCTGTCCCATTCTATTTCAGTTTGGTATTATCACTGAAGCTAATCATCTCCTCAATAGTCAGTCATTACTAAGGCGTATTCCAACATTTAAAAAGATTAGAATCATCCATGATAGGACTGCTATCCAGCGTCGAATCTTCAATGAAACACAAAATAATCAACCCAGACTACGTAGCCGCGGCAGCTACAGCGCTTGCCACTGCATAAATCCTAAAAAACTATACACTACCCCTCCCAAAAACGGAGGCACGTCGGATGCTACTATTAGTCCTAGGAACAAGACAGCACATAAAGCAGCTGCGACCACTCATCCTCAGCCCAAACACCCAACTACCCCAAAATGCCAACCCACTTATGCCTCAATAGTGCCACAGTATTGCCTCGATAAGACGCCTAAAAATAATCCTCCCAGGAATTGCGCTAACAGCTACAGATGCTCAGACAATGCTGTACCAAATAATGCCAAACTCCCTGTAAAAACCCACCAGTACTACAGCACCCCTCACCCAAAACATGCATTTTTTCATAACAGTAGAATGCCCTACAATAAACATAGTGAACTGGCAAAACCTACTCATCCTAACGTGAAACGACACTCGATAAGAACCACACCTACATGTGATACTCGTAAGTCATATAGTGTGGACCTTACAAGCTCCATGAACCAGCACACAACAACACACAACAGAAACACCTCTCCTGGCAACAGAATCAGGCAATCCTTCAACCCTTACCAGAAACATACTACTGTAGTGACCTACTTTTGTCTACAGAACGCGATTGGTTCAATGAAAACAATTATTATTATAACCAATTGTACCAGTGACTGTTTTACTGTGCTCTTTTGTTTAACTGCGCTAATGACAGCCATTATACTTACTCTCCCGTTGACTTTGAACTTGTACGAATTCGGTTACGCTCAGTAACCACGCTTGTACTCCTTTGGCACGATCTCGGTATTCTTTCGATACCACGAGATCGCCAACAAATACATCTCGATTACAGCCATCATCTGTCTTCTGACTTTTGGCCTACCGGAATCTTATTGGTCTATTGGCACGTAGTCTTGTAGCGGTGTTCATAGTCAAGCTCAACTTGACACCACGCTATATTTGGTGAGCCAAATATTGGAACACGCCTCAACCTCGGTCAAATCTTTCAAAGAAGGCGATTTGGTGAGTCTATTGTTTTTTCTATCCACGTCTGTCATATATTTTCATATTAATTTTTAATATATATATTTGACATGACGGATAACGATAAGAATAGTATTAATATAATAGACTCCGATGTACGCGTACCGAATCCCTGGCACTTTTTATTCGCGTGACGATAAATTCCACGCTTTATTCGAGAAATTCCCCAGAATAACTAAACCACTCGAGGAGATTTCATCGGTGACCAATCGTGTGGTACACCACATAGTCACCCGCGGACCACTAGTCACGGCAAGACCACGCCGACTGGCAC